CGAGCGTTTTCTGCAGCGTCACACGACATTAACGACAACGTCTACTACTGCTGCTTCTGTTGTTCGGGTGTCGTTTAATAACGGCTGCGACGCCCGGGCGAAGCATCGACTATAGTATAATAAATGACGCCGACGCAAACGAGAATCATTTATTGGGGTGCTATGTGCATTTTTGTTTACGTTTGGCTGAAGGAGAAGGCTTCCGCATACATACACACACACACACATGCGCAAAAAAGCCCGTTGCGTTTCTGCCGGCGCTAGCTAGAATCCTGCATCATTTCCTTCCAGCTGTCATAAATCAACCCCACCGATTTCCGTAGATATACATTCAAAGTCGATCCCCCAATATCAGTTGCACTCAACGCTGAATTATATAATCATATTCTCTAAGAACAACCACTGTTTAGATACGCACATTCGTGCTAGTATGATAGCCACAATAAGGTCACAGCAGCGTCGAGTCTAAAGGGTCTGTGAGGCAATCTGCTAATGGGAGCAATTTTTCGCAAGAATTTGCTTATTTGCCCCGATCGTTTTTCTAGACTTTGTCAAATAACCGTTGGACATCAGCGACAGTTTAAAAATCACAATCAATTGCACCCATCGTTAGATGTAGAATCAGCGAAATCAGGTAAAAGTTATTAGTGATTTATGTTATAATGAATATAAACGCCGTGATGAGTCGGGTCTAACACAAATGGCGATGATAAAGTTAGCATGAACGTAAGCTGAAATGCCAATGTTTGTGACAGTGAGGTAACTTTCCGACAGCTAAGAGGCATACGCCTGTTGACATTGGTAACTAAGTGAAAACTGTTGATGTGGTTGTAAAGCGTCTAATCAACCGAATTAATTAGAACATCGGGGTATCTACGCCCCGGGGTTACATGGCTTTTTGTCAGCCGAGGTCTAATTATCCGGCCCAGCATTCATGTTGACTTAAAGACGGCTGAAACTGAATCGGAATAGCACAACGCCATTGAGACTGAAGCTGGCGACAACTGCTGACACGATGCAGAAACAAGCTCTAAAATCAACCAAGATTCTAGTAATGCCGGCTGGACTGTTATGTTTGAGCGAGTTTTCCGTAAATATTCAAATTCAAGGGTCGATTATGGTGAAAAATTAGCACAAGATCCTCAACGGAATCCTCTTTCAAGTAGGATACTATTTACGCAGCAGTCACGTATGTAGCTAGAAGGCAATGATTGATAAAAGGGTTTAATGTCCTGTTTCTGCTGGGTTTACAGGAAAGCGAACTTCTAGTCTCATCGTGCAACTCACCCTTTTGTGTTTATTTGCTATTCAGTTCATTCTTTAATAATAATATACAATAAATATGAGACTGCAAACGTTTGCTTGCCAAATCGTATTTCTCTAATATACAATTGCTTCCTAGAAATAACCCACCCCAAATTGCGGCCACGTTTAAGTCAAACATTTCATACTTTATTAATAGGTTCAGTTTGTTTTTATTGAGAACTGAAACAGCCTGACCATGCATCGCCTTTCAAGTTATGTTTACTGCTGCACGGGGAATGAGACAATTACTTAGCTAAACAATTAAAACGTTCCAGAAGTTGCTAACCGTCAAAACACCAATTTGCTAAAGCATAGCAAAAAGTACTCCGAATAGCTTTGTTCAAGGTGGAACGAAGCTTGTCGTTTTCACGACATTACTGCTTAGAACTGAATACTGTAAATAACTTGAAAATAAGTTATCAATGCCAGCGACTGCTTTAACTTTTTTATTGTTAACTGCAAAAAAAATCACGAGGGGTAAACAGATATACTGTGCTATGTTTGCCTTTGCTGAGTGGCTAATAATTATGAAAAGAATAACACAATTACTTCATTTACATCGTGCGCTTTTCCATATGGAATTTGTAAACACTTGGCTTTTCTTCGTAATAAAAGAAGCGTCACGCCACCGTATAAACGACTAATTTGAGAGTCAAATCAAGCCACTTGATTGTAAATAGATTCCATACGCTGGTAGTCTATACGTCAAGCTTAGTTTGCTCATAGGGGGTCAAGTTCTAGACTTGACTGCTCCAAAAAAAAAGGCTAAAAGTTATGATTTTATCTGACTAACGCAATTATTTACTTATGATATATAAAGCGTTAGACAGACAAAATATAATTCCTGCAAATAAAACCTCAAAAATAACCGCCTTAGAAAACCTGTGATTATTTAAGGCGTTTGAGGACATTTGAGTATAATTCCGTCATGATCTACAGTAACGTTATCTGCGCATCCAAAACCAAAAAAAAAACGAGAAAAAGGCACAGCTGATTACGAAATCATGTTGATTACACTAAGTCGCTCTGGAAACTTAAGTTATTAAACTAATTAAAGTAGCAAAGCTCGTGCCTAACTATCGAATAATATATAGATACCCTGTGGAAGATGCAACTTGCAACATTTTAACTTACACGATTAGCTGCTTTTTCTCTCAAAAAGGAACTAACAATTTCTATTAATCATTTCTGTATTGTCACTTTGGATACATATATATGTACATCTGTTTTTACTGGATCACGTTAGATCATTCTTCTTACTTTTGTGAGATAGAGGCTAACAGCAGATATTCATCGCAAAACACTGACGACGCCACAGCTGACCTGAATGCACTTTTACAAGGTTTAATTATGCACAGAAGCTTCACATGGCACTCAAGGCCTTCCAGACCGCTCTGACGTATTTTCGTGGCCATTACTGTCATTTTCCAGCAGAGTTTGCTTATTGTTCGCACGTCCTTTACGTAACGTTAGCATTACATTACCTCGGAGCAGATTCGACGAAAATCGTTATCTGATCCAGGTTAGTTCGGCGCCACGCTGGAGTCGATGGCGATTTGACTTTTTTGTGCCCAACACGAAAAACGACCCTTGCTTGTTATACGAAGAAACGGACATCAAATGGTCACCTAAGTAGTAGGATCGGATGTTCTCAATCCGAGCGGTATTGAGGCGGCCCGAAACAGTTAACACTTAAAAGCGTTATTGTAGGCCAACTCAAGACCGGTAGCGTTACGACACCGATAGCAAACGAGCCAATTACAAAGTTAAACTGCGCAATTGATTGAGTAAGAACAAACTTCCTTCATTAAAATGACAAATATCACATTGTCAAAGGAAATGAAACGGTAACGGAGAAAAGCTCGGAAAGTTGCAATAGCATCTTGCATTATATATATATATATATATATATATATATATATATATATATAAGCGTTTATTGTATATAGAGTTTTTCAGCCAAATAAAGCGTTCAAATTTATTTTCATATTGTCTGCATGCTCGTAAAGGTACGGTGGCTACTAATATTAAGGCTTACAATTATGGCCACGGTATACTATAAGGCGTCGTTTGAAGCCGGCGGTGAAATAACTTTAAATTATGCATACGAAGATCCATTGTCTCTACATAATTAGTAGGATAATGTGGGACAAAACTAGACTATTGTCACGAGATCTTATATTCCTTAATGTAGTGTTTAATTATCGAATTAATCGGTTGATTTTTGTTTTGATTAGCTCATTTGAAGTTAGGGATATCGACGCATCCTAGCTGAACTGTGAACATTTTAGAAAACCACTAAAAGACAATATCTGTTTCGTTGAACTGTACGCCGTATCAAATACGTTCTGATTCAAAGCAAAAGCACCAACAATTACAGGTACTATCGAACAAGATACACAAAAATTATACTAAGCAAAACTCGAAATAGGTTCATGATTATTTGGCCATCTTCTGTCTGTGACAGAGAGTTCGAACACCGTTAACGAAATACTTCTTTCGACATGTCATTTTGTTATAAGACCGTTGAGTTCGAATTGCACATGTATGCCATACGTAATAATATACTTTATAAAATGAAAATGCGTTTGATCATCAGGTCTAAACCGCTTTTCTAAAACCAAACTGTCAATAAATCCTTGATACGCCACCAGTTGACCGACAATCCCAACGCCACGGCGTTTGAAGAACGGCTACAAGCTAAAGTATGAAAAGAGGTGTTGCCGCTGCTGGTTTTTCGTTGATTTCTCTCTTCATTTACACTCACTTCTTATTATTTTTGCGAAAAAAGCGACGAAGATTTACTACTCTGTTGATAGTCGATTTTTCAGCTGTATGCGTTCAGCCGGCCTCGTTCATATTAGCAACAGCCAGCTGTTCTAATATATATATATATATATATATATATACATATACCTAGATAGCCTTCCCGAATCATTTCTGTGTATTGATCGCAGCGGTGGCCCACAGAGAACTGTTCCTCCTTTTTGGGATCCTGTCTTCGCCAGAGCTATCTCGGTTTCTACATATATCCCTATTTCTATAGATCCATTCTTTTCTTCTATTGAATTATCCCTACGACCAGTTCTCTCATCGTCACACGTTTCTTCACTTTTATCTTCGCTTTACTTTCATTATTGCTTTTCTTCTCTGTTATTTTTATTACTATTATTATTGCAATGATTATTAGTCCCTACCGTTACGTTCGACTGCATTGTCGTTAACAACGGACACCTTTTCATCACCTTCGTCCACTATTACTAGTAGCACAACTAGTATTGCCATAGCTACGATTCCCGTAACATTTTCTTTAACAGATCGTTTCCTCGTCTTCATTTTAAGCTAAAATCACTTCACCATCTCGCTATCAATATCTGCTGTTGTCCCGGGGTTGGTCCTTTTTCTAAATTGTAGTTCTTTTTCCCCGGGGGCCAACTTCCTTAGTATTTTGCCTCCGGCTGATATTTCTCCTTGGTAAGGTGAAATGGATAGCTAAGGAAAATGACAAACCTAGGGGTTCTCTTTGCAGCTTCTGTAAGCGTCATAATGCGCCGGAGGTATCCAAAGAGATATACCCTTTCTGCTTACTTCAGATAAACAAGAAAGAAAGATCAGATGCATTTACTAGTTTCAGCCTGTACAACGGATAGTTGCGGCCAACGGCAATTATTTATTTATTTTTTTTTAGCACTCCTTCGCATTCTATATTATTTATCTATTTTCTACTATTTCCCGCTTTTTATTTCTTTACTCAAACAAAGACCATTGTGGATATAGCACTGAAAACAGCCGTCTGCATCATCAGGACTAGTTATACCTGTCGAAATAAGGCCTGCAATCAACATCGTCACAACAAATTGATCTCAAATCAGCGGTACAGCCAATGCAATATGCTTTCACCCCACAATAATTCGCCAGCGTCATCGATAATAAATAGGACGGTCCGATGAACAGTGCCGTCTGTATTTGCCGCCAGCGCTAATCGTCTGCAGTGTAATGCGATGACTGAAAATGGCTAATAATGTAATACATTTGTACGACTTTATCTATTTATATCTTTCGGATGAAGATCTGCTGTTTTAAATAACCTAATTGCGGCTTTTCAGATGTTCGATTGAACTGACTATTCAAGAAAAAGAAGATTTTTTTATTCAAAACAATAGGAGCAAGTATTAAACTACAAATTATTGTCATTATTAGTGTTATTTTCAAATGCTAGAAGCTCCATTATTATCTCTACGAGGACTTCAGGTATATGTAGTGCTATTTTGCCGGTTGAAGGGCGTTCATTGACGGAATAGAGAAAAGGTAGCATGAAAATATCACATGATATCTGTTTATTACGACGTTGTCGTGCAATCCGCTTGCAGCACTTGGTGCTCCCTTTCCGGCAGATGAATCGTACAAGCTAACGTATATTATAGCAGACACGCTCCGTATTGCTATCACTTTCTTCTTAATTATACGGCAATTACCTGGAAATACAAAACGTAAATGCGGTTATGCGTCGTATGATAGCCTCACCTTGTCAGCTGTAACAATGTATTTAAGTGGAATTTCAATTTGCTTTAGGTATCACGGGTGAGTATAGCCAATAAAATAAATGTGTCTCCTTTACTATTAATATCTCTGCTTCGTTCTGGTACAATGCTGTAATTCTTCAAAAGAAGCTCTGCAAGCCACAGTCATATAATGGGAAAGGCTCGAATCACATTCGTTAGTCATAGATATTGAAGAAATGTTGAACAGCTACAAATTATACCAGGTAAGCTAAAACGTTACGTGATTGTCTGAATGTAGCATAGGACTCCCATCGTAGAAAACCACCGTAATGTATTGCTATTCGAATCAAATAGAAATTTTAGTATACTCTGATAATCATCATAGTCAACATTGCATGTCTGGTACTACACCTTAACACCCGTTTGATAAGGTTTTTCAGCCGTCAGCGTATGCATTTTTCAAACCGAAGTTTCCGGCGAGGTTCGTAAATTCGATCGGAACAACTTGCGCGATTCTTCCCGATGAATACAATTAAAAAGAAAGGATGGCAAAGTGTGCTTACATTTTAAAAAAACATCGCACATACTATTGTTTTGGTATGAGTAACATGAGAAAAGGCCTTAAAAAAACTGTACATTTTTGTTTTGATAAGTCCAAACCTGCCTACGTTCCGGCCCTTGTCTTCCCCGTCGGTGGAAACGTTTGATTCATGGTCACATAAACAATGTTAATAGATTCTGTTTGTGTTTCCATTTTCTCGTTACTGCGTATCAATATCTTTACCCGTTTTGAAACGATGCTTCAGTTCTGCAATGATGCTGGCCTCTACGCGAACACATTTCAGGGGTTTTTTATAAGTAAATAGCTTCCTCCCGTTAGAAGCAGGCATGTCTTCTGACCGCTGCCTCTTTCTATATCATAAGCATCCGGGATTTCCTTAGGTTTTAAAAATCTCAGTCACGCTTTTGTGTCTCTTTCCTTTTCTTCACTGACGCTTTCACCAGTGACGATAAACACATGTCGACAGGCCCTCAATGATCTCGTCCATTTTCGATTTTTTGCTTATGCTGATGTTATGGATATGCCATTGCGGTGTTATTGTCCAGAGCACAATTCATGTGTATGTTTCGCATAGTTTGATACGTTCAGCGACCAAATAGATCAGCCAGCAAAGACCTCCGAAACGAAACGGACACGAATTGCTTTTCCATCGAATTCCTATGATGCTATTCCTTAGTTTATTTCATCTTTCTTTTTTTATTCATCAGGCACACAGATCATCTCCCAGCTCGATGCTAGCCATACGATCCATTCATTGGGCTCTTCATCTGGGCATTCAGATATGGCCTTACCTTCTTTTTCTAGAAAACCAAGAATTTGTATCATTAAAACGCAACTGATAAACCCTATGCTTCCATTAAAAGCCCTGCAATAAGATACATCAGCAAAGCTATCGTACAGCCAACAATTCGTACAGGTTTCACGTTTCAATGTGTTTTCTTTTTCGTTTGTAAGTTTGATAAGAAAAAAAAAAAGGAAAAATCCAATTTTCCGCGCGTTTTCGATCAGCCAATGGCATCGACTACTCAGTCAACGTAGAGGATTCAAACGCGTTGTCACCCACAGCTGGAAACAAGCACCATTGTACGCAATGTTGCCCGAAACTTGAAAACCGCGGAAGCAAAAAAGTCCGCTGCCCCTGACGCAGCTTATCGTGCGTTTGGACCACAACGGCTAATAGTTACAAGCGGTAAATACATCAACCACAGTGCCTGAACGATCGTGCCAACAACAACTGAGTACAGTTAGTGATGTCTGATCGTGTCTGAAGCACGGGCTGAGTCGTCTCTGGTGGCCGATAAATGCTTGAGACGGACAGGAAACGCGTACGGAATACCTGCGTAATGGTGCCATCTAATTTCCTACTAGATTACAGAGTTGGCCATGGTCGCCGTTGTAATTACAGTTTATTGTTCTGTTTTCTGTCCTAGCGATAGCTTACGAAGTACAGCTCTAACCAGATAGAACCGACTGGGACGCGCGCTGAAAAAACTGTTTGTATTTCATTGAGGAGACACTGAGACGAGATTCACATACCAGTCTTCCTGTTATAAACGGCAGTATATATATATATATATATATTCGTTATTTTATTGTGGCGTTATTATTGTTCCTATTGTTGAAATTGGCTCTCGTTCTCCTTTGTTTATTTCAGCCATGTACAAAACCAGCACTATTATTTTAATGATTCTGACTGTTGTGTTCACGCATTTTATTGCAGATATTACAATGCTTGCTGAACGTAGCAATTATTAGTTGCTTTAATATACGCACGCACACACACACATATATATATGTGTATATATATATAAGCTTCAGCGGTCCGTGCGGTGCGTTAAGTTGCATTGAATTCTATTGCAACTGCGATGCAATAAATCCCCCTGGTCACGCAACCTCGGACCGGTCAATTCGTGAATGTTGTCGCGACGCCCTAATGAATGCCTTTGTGGCAATAGACTCCTACCTAATGGGTACCTTCTTATCCGCTCGGACCAACCCAACATCAGGTGTGTTTTAGTGTGTGTGTGTGTGTGTGCATGTATACGTAGAACAATGAAATAAGCACTAAAATAATGACTCTTCGAAATCAGCAGGGCATGTGTTAATGAACGAGCATACTATGGCCATCCAACGTAGGAAACGACAAGCAAGAGGCATTTGGGAGGCGACCCAAACGAGTTTGCGTGAAATGCTATAGAGATGTGGAATTATGCATAAAATGCTACCTCCATGATATACAGCGTACTTTAGTCACTCAAAATACTTCAAATCTTGGACCGACTAACGGCTTTGCGCGAATCATTGGCACTTTTTCGGTGCTGTGGTTAATAAATGCACGAAAACTTTTCGTGTCCGGACAGTTAACACTAATAAAACTAAAATATATACTGGTAAAAGGCAGTATTGACCAAATATGCCGAAATAATTAAGACAGTAGAAAGGCAGCTATATTAAATGTAAATATCTTTATGTGCTAACCATAATAGATTGTGCTTAGAGAGTAGCCTTTAAATCGTTTCGTATATATGAGCTATACCGAAAATAAGATGAGGAAGTGCCTTCAAACTCCTGGATAGTCCTATATAGTTAATTTTTTTTAGTCTAAAGTACGGCAGGTTATGGCAGACTGGTAGATGTGAAATGGCGCCTCAAATAGATTTAAGTTAACCTTACCGGAATCGCACTATTACTGTAGATACAAAGTACAAGTGCTGTTACTTAATACACTGACAGAATTCAATAGTATACTTTTCTATGATACTAGACGCGTAGCGAAGCAGTAAGCGTAGAATAATATCAGATAATATAAACTGATATTGTAATAAACCTTGATCAAGCCAACGTAGCGGATCATTCAAATAATTAGTTTCACGATAATGTTTTAAAAATTACAACATAGATTTGCATATCTCTTCTTTTATTTCCTGACACTGACAATGGTTCGCTCCATCAGGGTGTTCATATTCAAGAGCCCTTTTCCTTCTGTAGCATATTTTTTCATTCCTACGTTTTTCGTCTTGAAGCGGTCGAAGCCACAAATTCATTCAGTAGCTTTTTTGCTGTCACCCCATTTCATTGTATTCCAAGCTCTGAAAAACGCAGCTAGATGTTCGTTCCGCACTAAGGCAAACCATATGCCGTGTTAAAGTGACGCCAGGTAAGTGTTCCCTTTTATCCACAAAATCAGCTGCTTACCGCAGCAGCAAAAACATACCGCGATATCTAAACCTATCAGGCAGCGCTACGACACAAGATTACGGATACAACTTACCAGTGTCGGGTGACTTCGCCAGCCCAAAATACCGAATGGGCTCTCCAGTTGCTTTGCGCTTTGAAGACTTTACGGCGACAGTGAAACAGGTCAACGGCACGCAAGTGATCAGAAGTGGGAGAAAGGAAAGCATAAGAAAGCCATAAAGTATGTCTGGCTAGGATCTGGATTTCTGCAGGGCTTATCGAACTCTCAGGCGCTTAGCGAAGTTCTCGCACAAAAAGTATATGGATTCACCGGCAAAAAAAGGAACAACAAATCGTGCTAAGCAAATGTTGTTACTCGCCGAGGCACAACACGTCAATGATCCCGATGCGCCAGAGCAATGCTGCGTCGACGTATCTGCCGGCATCAATAAAAACCGTGTGGTAGCAGAATAGTTTGCCAAAAAGGGAATTACACTAAGCAGTTGTTTGCGACCGGTGATAGAGAATAATCACATATATTTGCTTTTATGCGGTACTAACATTTTTTTCCCGTTGGAGGCATGTAGCTATCGGTTCTGCCACTATGTACCTATACAGAGTGCTATAATATAGTGAGGGTTAGGCCTTGAAGCTAATGCTGGCTGTTCGCAGGCCAAGCACTAGACTGAATAAAACTTTTCACATGGGATATGTGCTACAGTAACATGAACATCAGAGGAAAACACTACATTGCCAAACGTCACATGCAGCGGGTAAATGCATATCTCCAACACGTTGGTTATTTCTTATTTCATGATAATTACTGATGTTATTAGAATGGTCTAATGGACGCCACTGCAAACAAATTATTCGAAGCAAATTTTTCTTGGACATATATCGTAGTGCGAAGACGGGAAGTAACCGCAATAGTAATAACAGGAGATTTACGTTGCCCGCCTGCAAAAATGATAAATAAATTTACCTTTATGGAACGTTCTTGCTTCCAAATAAGAATAATAACAGATATATATGACCAATATGTCCTAAGTATAACAGTAAGTATTTCTCGTTTTATTATGTATACCCTATCATTATAGTCTATACGTTTTTACTCTGGACATATGCAGCCAATATTGAACAATATAAGTAGCCAGTGCAATAGATGTTGTCCTTTTTTAAGATATACAGAAAATTGGCGGGGCAAGAATTTGATTTTGGCTTTTCCCCAGGCTTCTAAGGCAAACTTTGCTTTTGTGTTCAATTAAGATCCTGTATAGTGTTTCACATATTTTGACATAACTGTAACCGAAGGCGACAGAGCTACTTATGCATGGTTATTACTCTATTTTAAATGCAGAGTCGCTGATATACATTCTACATACACCCAATAGAATGTGTTGTTGGGTATACAGCCAACGCTACACGTCGAACATTTCCGTGCACTGAATTTTCTGCAAATATCAATCATTATGCCGCATTGCCGCCTTCCGTTCATTACGCAAAGGATGCCCGGGCTTGACTTTCAGGCAGTTGCCCATTTCAAATCGGCTACACGATCATATCTGTTAGCATAATAAAATAATCAATAATCACCGTTCAAATATATGTGAATACCATAACATTTTAACCACTGCACCGACTGTCACGTCGAGAACTTCTAAGCGCGCAGAACTGCTCATGCTGTCTCATCGACAGGCCTGCATACATCAGTCAGGCTAATTATTGGAAGGAAAATACCAGTTGTTGGCCCGTATCGGTCATGTAGAAGTATTACACACCTCAACCGTTGTTACAGTTATACTGAAATTGACAAAAGAACTCAAAATGAGATGTAAATATCTGGCTATTCGCCTTACCTGGATGAGTACACACAATAATGCACTATGCTTCATAGTTTGTCATGATCGCAAAATAATTGTTACGGTCATTGTTGCCCATTGCATTTGATGGGTTGTAGACAACGACGATTGCACTCGCTGCCTGTTGCAGTTTGTCTTAGTGCAGCTGGTGGTCGGAGGTAATACATCGGACCGGACTCGTCTGGCTTCCAAATATAATTAGCCAATTACATTTGTAAGGGGCGATATATGTACGTGCGGTCCGCTGAACCGTTGCTCATGCAGAGAGTAATAGATATAACTGTGCTGATAAGAGCTTAGCTGTTACGAGACAATATTTACTGCTTAATTTATTATTAATGTACGTACGTTTAGAGATTTTCCGTCACCATGGCCAATATTGATTGATCAACCAATATCTGTTACTATACGGCAAGAACACAAATTCATGACTAGAACGTTTTTGTAATTATGTATTCTATTATTCACACTGATTCCAATCAAACTGCTTATATCATAACACTGGATATAGAAGATAATAATGCTATGATTATTTTAGCCAGCCAGGCGTTCCGATAGACATTTCGACATCCTCATGACTCTTTCTGTTCAAGATGATATTACATAATCGATGACCGGTATATCTATTATGCATAGCTATATAACAAATGTATGCTAGTTGAGAGGTGCCCTTTCTTCGAATGCGTATACGTGTATGGATGTATATACGAATATGCGTGTTTACATTCGTAACAACCACTGTGTATTCAGTACTCGAAATTTTTGACCGCTATTCGTGTGCCCAGTTGTCGCAAAGTTTCAACTGTTTTGTGGAACTCCGATATAAGATTCAGTATATTGCCTTACCCAATGGACATGCAAAAAAAAAGAGCTAGAATATATTTTTTGTTTCTTTGTATATCTTGTGGTAGTCTCATTATGTCGATAAAGTGTATGTTCACAGCTCGCTGCTGATGGGGGACTCTATTGATCTAGCCTTTACGTGTGTTTGGCCTTTCGGTGACCATGAATGACTATATGGTATTTAATAGACACACACAAAGAAAGGCTCTTCTATCTACACTAACTGAGTCGTGAGCAACTGTCTAGTGGTTAATGGCGCTAGCTGCACCAAAGTCGCACATTATTTATTAAATTTACCGTATTATCGAGGCACTGCTATAAACGTAGGTTGGAGCCGCTGTGTTTTAGCCTTAAGAGAAAAGCAACAAAAATATCGCTCAGTACCTATTTTCCCTAAGGCTATACAGGTATTTCACAAAGTTCCTTGCATATTGGTAACGACGCATTGGAGACCGCGCCTGTGGAGACTTACGCAAGCGCTTGCCTAACGTCGTGTTTGAAGAATAAGAAGCATATAAGTGCGCCAAAATGTTTTCAGGGTAGTTCGTTCCGACAAGATATCGAGGCAATTGCTCTTTCTTTTCTGATAATTCCTTCTTCAGTCTATCATTGGGTTATATTGACAGAACGCAAAAAAAAGTTATCAAATTATATTTGTAGGCAGTATCATGCCTAAAAATCCGCTTATCCGATCGATTCATAAATACTATAACAGTAAATCAATCGATAATGAATCACAAGTAAATAATAAGGATTTCAACTAAAATGGGTTGTTCTTATTTTGTCAACACACGTAGCAGCTCCGATCTAAGTCACTTTAAAGTAGACTATTAGCAGATAAAGTAGAGTATTACACATTCGCCTAAGGTATCGATTTTTGCTGCCAGCACCGTAAGAACCGTCGTTTCTTTCCTTTCTTGCTAAACTGCCTCCGACTAATACTATCTAAGATGTATTTATGTTCACCTTTTACACAACTTCTTTTGCTTGTTTCGAACGTTTGACGACAGGGCTATATCTAGTTTGCAGACACTTATTAAGAAGTAATGGAAGTAACAGTTATTGATGTGAATGTTAAGTTCCGATTTTTCTCACAACGTATGATTAAAAAAAAAAAAGCCTTTTTGTATTATATTAGCACTGCAATGGACAAGATAACCTTACCTTTTGCTATCATCAGACGAGGTACTTGACCTCCAAAAACATCGTTTCAAAAAGGGCGGTTATTAGCGCACAGTTTTTACCAGTAGGATGCCATGACCGGCCTTCACACTCAAACAAACTGTATCTTTCCGTGTCGTTCCGAGTTGGTCATTGTTTTTTTTAGGAAGACGGCTTCTCTAGGGACTGATTCTACTACAGTCATGTCGGTGCTGGGTTATGCCTCATAGATCAGACCTTCGTAGTCTCAATCGGTGGCTTTACGTCTAACTGGACTACTACGAATTTCTCAGAATCTCTCGAGATTGATCTTAGGGTGCCATTCCACATGTAACTTTCGCTCAAAAATTATGTACACGTCCTTAATTACTACGTGTTATGTATGCCGAAGACCTTAAAATACATACGGGGATTTAGTAAAGTAAAGATACACTGAACATTTAAAAAGCCATTGATTCAGTTTGATCTCGGTGGGCATTACACTGTCGTATTGCTGTCCTAGAGCCTTAATGTCAACATTCGAGTATACAATGTTCTTGTTCGAAACGGTTAACCTGATAACAATCACGCAAGTCGACAAACAGACTGGCAATCGAGCCATCCAAGGCGACGACTTGTAATACTGTTTGTCATTCTTTCGTTTGATACATGGTATGCCATAGATAAGGACACAGCGGCCACAACTGTGCTATCGTACTGTTGTAGTAAAAATCCTTTCGTAGCATGTTGGTCACCTAAGAAGTTAGTGTTACATACCAAATCTTTGCTTATTCTTTTCCCAGCCGATCAAATACACCACCTTATTCAAAAAAGCGGCGGCCGCACATATGTCTTAAGCCCAGTATGGCGAATAAATGAAAAATATGGAAAAACACAAACAGATAATTGATTTCATAATCAAAATTACTGTCACCATAAACGCACTTAACTGCGCTCATACTACGGCATGGTTTTTCTTTTTGAAGGATCATAACGTTTTACTAGGCTTCCAACAGAACAGAAATATACGTAATACTTAAGTCGGACATACAAAATTAATGCAATACACGCAAGCCAGCAGCATTCAGATCAACATCACTAGCGATCCCTGATATTTCCGGAACTACCATAATGCAATTACAAGTAGAACATTTTATCAATCCACATATTGGTAGTGACATTTAATAGGGTCTAACAGCCAAAAAGTGTACGGTGACAAACAAATCTATCCACTTATTAAATCTGGTCCATCTAAAATACACAGGTCTCTCTTTGTACTGGGGCATTGGATAGAATCTACACGTTATTTACTTTTAAAATGACATAATACAGTGCAAGGCACAGCTCCAAAACCCAATCAGGTTATCACACAGTGCACACAAATCCTGCGTACGATAGCCATGCTTGCTGTGCCCGCATGTTAGTTATACGAGATTCGTTCATCTAGGCACCTACCAAATTTATGATTGGTCTGTCTTTTTTAAATATTTTCAAGCATTCCAGTGCAATTTATCAAATGCCAGAGTAGAAAATCATTTTCTGATTAAGTGCTTGTGAAGTTCAAATATTGTCGTCGCGGTAGCTGAATTACGTCTGAAAAAGGGGACAGCCTAAGCATATGAAATATTTGTATCCTATCATAAGTCCATTTTTAAGGTATGGTCAGTTTTTTTTCGCAAAAAATATACGTTCCATAACGAGGACAGGTCAATGAACAAAAAAACGATACTAAATACAAAACGCATTCAGTGTTTTTATAGTTTGCTAGGCATGACTACGTAGTCCCAATAAACATACTGCAGATTTAATTCGAAATATCGCCAACAGTCTGCGATACCCTATGCCTTTGTCAACCAGTCGACGAATACTTGACCACTATTTCAAACTGCGAACTTTAACTACTGTTCAATTAAGCGACTCAACGAAAAAATATACAGTATTGACCCTGTACCGTTTGCAAAAAGCAGTTTTATTTACAGAAATAATGAAATGCTTTATTACAGGTAAAAAAAAGCTAACTAAAATAGCGCCTCTTCAAGTCCCTCTAATTGCAAACACCCCAGTTTTTTCTATGTATACGTATATACAAATTTAATTTGATAACAAAAGGTTTATACTTTTGTGGCTGAGAGTAACATATTTAAGAACTTACTTTTATACACAAAATCCATAGATGCCCTTTCTCTGTATTTGCTAATCGAGACGAAAAAAAATTGCTTTAACTTGTCACCTTAGTGATAGTGTCTTATGACAATTATCTCCTGGAAAAATGTTTCTTAAATCTCTCCACTCGCATATCATCGGAGGCACGAAGCGGCTGGCCCGGTTCGCGATGGTTCTGATACTGATAATCACGGTGAACCCGGTGTCGCCTTGCTTCCTGTTGTTGGGCAAAGTTAACGGAAAAATTAACAGGTGCCATTGACTCTTCTTTTGGTACCGTCCGAACCCGATCTCGCAACATGCGCATCTTCGCTTCTTCAGTCGCTTCGATATTGCGAATACGTTCATCGATACCAAGATCAACCTCCGGGATACCAGCTAACATTTGATTGGATAGCATTTCCTCACTCTTTGAATTGCCAGCTTGCTTTAGATGCTTCGGCAAAATCTGCATCAGCAAATCTTCATTTTTTAGCGACAGATGCTTAGGCTCCTCTTCCGTCGGAGCCGCGTCTCCTTTGCGTTTTTTCAACTCTTCCTCAATGTATTTCATCATATCGGCATCTTCGTCGCGTTCGTTCGTTTCGGATGCAAACTGATTGCCAATATTAATTGTATCAGCTTTTTTAGCTGCTTTCATCTCAACAAGACCACCGGTTTCCATCTTAAATGGGTCCGAAGTCTTTTCTACAATTGCGGGTATCGTCTTTCCAACAATTAGAGAGGCTACTGACACGCCCTTTTGTCGTTTGCGCAGCCGCTGTAATTCACGTGTGTCTTCCATGATTGAACGATCCACCTCTGCACTGGCTTCATCATTGCTAGTGGCTCCATCTTGGGCACCATTATCATCAACAGCAACTTTTGCCGTTCGGAGATTTTTCTTACGTTTTATAGTCTTGAACACGATAGTTTCAACTGGCGGTTCATCTGGCGTATTTGAACACTCTGCTGGCCCGGGCGAAGCCGAAGGTAGTGATATATCCGCTTTTGACGCAACTATTATTGCTTTTTCGTCAGACATTGCGTTTAATAAAAACTTAAGTCCATTTTTAACACAGAAACATTCAACTAACCGAACAAACTATAAATACCTTCGTCAAATTAAGAGGTATACGCGACTCAGAATTACTCTAACGGTAAAGCTAAATTCTGGAAACGGATTCTCAACATTAAGTGGCCTTGTTTGTGTTCGAAAATTGGGAGAAATGATGACGTGATCGCTGCTTGGCGAGTATCGAACAGCTCCGGGCGGTCAGACTTCTTCTGTGAATGGAGACTAAAGCATCGGGCAAAAACCGTCGGGCCATGGACGACGGCCGTTACACAGTCCAAAAATAAGCATCTAATGAGCAACACGTAAGTTTCTATCGCCTTTATCGAGCGAAACTTTCAGAAATCTATTTTAATACAACTGCTTGTATGTGCTTTTTATATATCATCAGCGTTTTTCATAAATATGGCGTTCTCCCTTCATCATTTTCGAGTAATCTTGTAATATAACAGATAAAATATTTTCGATATTTACCATAATTATTTGTCATAGAAAAATTAGCAAAATATATGAAAGTACGATGACTGAGGATATTGTCATTGTTTACACAACAGAAACCGTAGATATGTACTCTGGAAAATAAAGTCCCTTAGAATACATACGCCGTATGAATCTCACAGGCAAAACATAAGACTGACAAAGTAAACAGTAGGTGCTTTCGTTACAGTACTCATAGAAACAAAAATGTCTAAATTATCTCAAATGGTCTATAGAGTTTTGCACGGGAGACGGAAATTTAGAAACAATTCGAAGTCTAATCATAATTATCCTTAAGAAGGATTTTAAAAAGCCATATCAGAAAAAATCAGCACAGCCTGTTATACAATTGCTTTTTTAAATATAATATTCAGTAAAAAAAAAGCGTAACTATTAAGCACTATTTATGCCACTGACAATGATAATTATATCAATACTCAGGGTCTTGATGTGTAAGGTGAAGAAATTTATAATCTCAGGCAAACACATCCTGTTGCCTTTTTGCATAATGCATAATTATTACAAACAACAAGTTTCGAAATTTTTTTTTGCGTGTTTCGGTTCAACTTGTATTGAAGATATTTTTTTAAAGATGGCAATAAGCGTAGATCTTTAGACCGCATAATTATAATAAATAAGTAATTGGGGCTTAGGGGCAACAGCACACTTGTGTTAAAAAGACGATACACTGAGATGGCTACGAAGTTTCGCCGTTAGTAAGAAGAAAGTTTCCGGTTGGATTTAGCTAAACATATAAAAGATTTTAGCAGCCCTCATCATCTGAATAAGTTCATTACATCAAACTGAATGAAGGGGTACACCTTATAGCCGAAATATCGCACTATTTAAAGCCTCCCAAAAAGTCTGAACTTATGCGAGAATGTCCACTTATTTAGAATAAGATAAATAAACACAGCCACCATGTCTAAATAAGAATGATTTTCATCGCCGTCGCTCAAAATGACCGTGCGACTGTAGGACCCATAATCAAAGTATCTATTTGTGCTTCTCGATGACGTTACTCGAATGGCTTTGATCTTTGAAAAAGAAAAATTCATCGTCCATTTCACGTTACCATTATTCGTGCTACCCTTGGTAAATTATGCCAACAATAAGCATAGCCCCTTTAACGTTGGTAGAGTACCAACCACATGCGTAATCATAACTACTTCGCATCTATGGGATCCAATCAGAATGATAAAAGTACTAGCAGTATGTTAACATGTATTTTTTTTTTTTTCTTTGTCAGAAAAGACTCAGTTGAAAAGAAAAGTCAAGTTTTCTTCCCCGAGGCGACAGTCATGGCGTCTAACACAACCCACATCCCCCGTAGCCGTTGCGTTGCCCCTGTAACATCTAAACACCGCCACAGGATATACATGAGGATTGGCACTTGTACAATATTACGTAGCCGTGAGGGTTTCAGTAGCATAGTATTTACTAGCAGTACTATACAGAAAGGTGATATTTTTATGTGATTAAAGGCGACACAATACTGTCAACGAAAGGGAAAAAAATAGACAATTTAACTGCTGGACAGGCTGACTCTTATTTCAAAAAACAATGTAAAAAAATCTGCACCGTCTACCGTTCTACTGCATCATGCTTGTGAAGTCATGGAGGGCTCGCTATTCAGTTTTTTTCACAAAGGGATAATGATCTATGTGTTGTGGTATACGCAGATCCGTAAAGCAGCTAAGAGCAGTAGTCTCTGATTTTGTAGCAAAAGTCAGGCTCCAATTTAATCCAAATCGTTTTCTTTGCCGTGTTAAGGTTTACCGTAAATTCCCAGCGTTATGAGTTCTATATGAGTTGCGTCCTGAGCTAGACGTCTAATACTACGCTCCTGGTAAACAGAGAGTCTTGCATTGAAATAATCGTTCGAAGGGATAACTTTTTGCTGAAAAAAAGCCTGATTTCTGAATACAATTAAGACAAAATTGAATAGTCTTCATTTGAGTAGCTGTAATAGAAGTTTGAATCACTTATTTGGCGGAACATGTCACACATGCTGCTCGCGTATTCTGAGAACAAAGGGATAATCTGTAGTTAATAGATTCTAATTGTTATGTTTTTGTCTGCAATAAAAATCAGTGAGCGACAGTTGGATAACAATAAGAGGAATAGCGTGCACAAGCCAGCGAAAACCTTCCTAATAGAAAAGCTTCGAAGCGTCACATAAATACGATCAATCACCTCAATCTAAAATAACTAACGTAATATAGCAGTAATACACGATCGTAGTAGATCACGTCATATAAAAGCGTAGCTCGTTGCTGTTCTTGGAACACGAAATACAATTTTATTGTTCTATAAAGCGCCGGCCGCGTTTCGTTCGTTGTTTGCTTTTAAAAACACAATACGGCCGTGCCGCAATACGATGAGCGTCGACTTCAGTTCTTGTCGATGGCGGTAATATGTTATTTGAGTTTTTGTCCCGCCTCCTTTTCAAGAGCTATTGTAATTTTTGACAAGTATTATTTCAATATCATTTACAGTTGCCTCCTAGCAGCATATATTTACCACTACCGTCAGACATGTAGCGGACAATAAGATTACTTTCGCCTTGCGTATTTCGCCAACCAATCCACCTTCTACACGTTCATCATACACGATTATGCCTACAAACGAACAGCGGGAGATATTTTGAAATTTTCAATTATAATTTCTACGTCGCGAATGTCGTGTCCGATATCGACGCAGTCCTCTTACCTTCTGAAGGATACTGCTCATCCTGCTGGACCTGGTCTAGGCTCAGTTTGTTAAAAAAACGACTTGAATTAATTGCATCCTTATAGCGAACGACGATTGAGTGAGTTCTCTAGTTCGTAAGAACGAAGTGTCGATAAGGACACATTATGTTGTGTAAGAGCGACCCTTACGACTGGAAGCCAATAACTCTAACGTTTTTTTGTTTAACGTGATAGGCTTCAAATTGTTTCGAACGCCTGTGATGCAAACAAAGAGATCGTTTAACAATGGTTATCTTAATTAAGTTTATTAATAAACGACAAGTACGGCTTTCTTTGCTGGGCATTGTTCCTTAATGTTTTGTTGGTGCTTCCTGAACCCTCCCGTCCGTAATTCCTTCCTCGGTCATTTTCCTCGATCTTGCTTTATAAAGGAGGCGTTAAAGTGGCGAAAAGTAACGGTTAGCTATTACTAAATGACCCCATCAAAATGTGTTGTTTGTAAGAACCGCCAACAAAATATTGTACCCGCTTTCGCTAGTTTCGATTTGTTGTGGTTCAGGCATCGCGTGCCGTCCATCTCACAATTATACGACAAAAGTCAGATCGTCCGAACATTTCGATGTCAACAAAACCGTCGATTTATTAGAAAGGCCGCAAGGGCAAGCGATTGCTGCGTTTAAAGTTCTGGAGAGGATCGCAAACTTCTTTAATCGAAAATCACCAGCCACTCGCGTAACGACCTCGTAAAGTCGCAACGAGTCCGTTTATACAGCACCGCTACGGGCATGGCCAGACCTTCTGTCGAAGAAAACCATCTACATTCTGGTTTTTTCTACTAGCAGATTTCGCTATAATATGGTCTTTGCCACCTGTTGACTCTTTACACAGGCTGGTAACTGGAACGGGCACGCCAGATCGGCACTTTTAGACAGAAACACGTCGTTTATATTCTTTCCACTCTTCGTTCTAGTAGGCTGTCCGCATGTTGAACGACGCAGTGTAAATCATGACACTAATGGCATACGAATGGTGAAAGTTAGAACCACTCAAACCGGAAATCGCTTCTATAAAAATTCTGCAAAGTGTTGACATTTGTCTGTATTATTGATCGTGTGCGTTGAGCCAAGAGATACTGCAAAGGGCTAACCTAAATATTTAGGAAGTTCTAAAGGAGTATAAAGAACACACGGTTTCGATAACTCAGAGATATCGACTTTGTTTGTTGTTCAGCGGAGAAGGAAAGCATCATTTTTTCGATGTTCTTTATTTTACAAATTTTCACTTCCGTTTATGTGTACCCGAAAAATAGGGAAGATTAAAAACGAACGACGTTGATGCCGATCAAAAACTTTGCGTGAGATCCGGTTCGAGGGAAGCCCTATCAAGGAAGTTACTTGAAAAGGAAGGCAAACAGGTGAAAATGTGTTACTCAGTTCTTCGATACAAGGGTTACGTACGTGATCCCTCAACAGAAAGGGATTTTCGTGAAGCGTTTACAGGATGTAATAAAATAGCTCGAAGCTTGCGTTTCTTATTTAGGCCATCGAGCTGTTGCTGTTTTTCACGTGCAAAGAAAAGCAAACATGTCTCAGAATATAAACAAAAACGACGCACTTGACAAGTACATAAAAAAATAGGAGAAATACATTCAGGTAAATATTCCCTTTATTTTGCTGTGGAGACGAAGTTCAGTCATATATCAACAATTTCAATTCAACCATAAGATAACATTTGTTTGTTATCTTAAAAAAAAAATACCTGAACCATCACCGTGTATGCAAGTTTAACAATTCGTCTATTATGATCTTGACATATCATAAATTCAATCATAACATATTAATTTCTTTATATGCGATCTTCATACAAGTTTAGCGTCCCATACTTAATGGAACTGATGAGATAGGCTTGTTGGCGACTAACAAAACTGTCCTTAAACGTGAGTTGTAAACTAACAGCGGGGGGTTTAGCCTTAATGATTTGACGGTACAAAAGAAGTTATATAATTAAAATTTTTTTTGCCAATTGTATCCAC